GCGCGAGCGGACCCCAAGGGCCGCCGGCCTGAAGGCCAACCTCCGGGTGAGGCGGGGGTAGCTGCCGTGGTTGGGAGGAAGGGAGGGAGCGAGCGAGCGAGCGAGCAAGCAGCGCCACAGACCTGAGCGAGGGGCAGCTGGGGGAAGTTCCGGGTTCCCGCTCGCCCTCCCAAGAGCAGCCCCAGCTCTCGGGCCCCCCCTCTACCCTGCCAGGAGCTGAGGGGAGCGGGTGTCGTGCGGGAAACGCGTCCCGCCCGTCCCCCTGGATGTTGTTCTCGTTTTGGGTGCCACGCTGAGGGAGCCCTCAGTCCGCTACCCGTAGCGTCCGCGACGGGTTACCGCGCTGTTTCCCCCGCCACGGGGATAGTTGTGGGTTTGGGTTTTTTTTTTGTTGTTGTTAGGGTTTTTTTGTTACGACTCAGAGTTGGAAGTGGTGCCTTAAGGGCGAGACTGCGTGTGTTTGTTTACCGATCGTGGTCAAGAACGAGAAACTTAACGCACGCACCGATTTCTTACCCGTAGCGTCCGCGACGGGTTACCGCGCTGTTTCCCCCGCCACGGGGATAGTTGTGGGTTTGGGTTTTTTTTTTGTTGTTGTTAGGGTTTTTTTGTTACGACTCAGAGTTGGAAGTGGTGCCTTAAGGGCGAGACTGCGTGTGTTTGTTTACCGATCGTGGTCAAGAACGAGAAACTTAACGCACGCACCGATTTCTTTTGCCTGGAGCAACAAATTCATGAGAGTGGCCTGATCTCTGCTGTAGGCGCTGCCAGTGAACCTCTCGGCAGCAGTCAGACTGCTGGGCTACCAGTGGGAGAAGGCATAAAGCGTTAAAAAAGAAAGAAAATCCACGCCTTACGTGGACAAAGGAACTCATTGTCCTTGGGATTTTAGCTCTGCGTCGTTCTGACCTTTCCAATTAGATATTTAAGAGTCTTTTCACAGCCTAAAATGTCAATGATGTAATTTTGTTGTTGTTATTTTAGTGCTGTTACTGTTTAATATATGCAAGGGATGAGGAGAATGCTTCGCACGTAGTATGGGCAAGACTGAAATTACTGCAGAAATTCCATACAGTTTGAATTCGTGTTCAGCTAGATGGTGCTGCTAAAACCACTCAGTCTCATTCATCTTCGAACGATTAACATTTCTGGAAAACAGATGGACCGGAAGAAACCTAGTCAGGGAAATTTGTCGTTGTGCCGTTGTGGAGAATATGCTATGTATTTATCTGCAGCTGTAAGCGCTTTCTCTAATTTGACTGACTTGAATGAAGCTCTAGGCACGCCTTATTCCATTGGATTCAGAAAATGTTCTGCTTGTTTGTCGGATCAGTTTATTGGACACTAGTTGAGTTTACACAGTTTTTTGTTTGATGATGTAATGCAATATTTGGTTCATATGTTGTTTTGATTTCTCTCCAGGCGGACAAATTGTTGAAAGCACTGAAGCAGCACTTCCATGGAACAAAACAAGAAAGTGAAAATATGGTAATAGATGATAAATCACCCATTCTTTTTAAGACCGATAGATCTAACTTTGTAACTAGTAGAGCAGGGCAGGTACTAAAGTTGGGGTTTTTTGGTTTGTTTTGTTTTTTTTTTGCTATAATATGAACTGTAATAAAAATACTTTCCTTTTAATAGTGCTTTTAGTTTAATGCACTCATGTACTGATAGAAACTGATGTGCTAATACTAGCTTTGAAGTGGCCTCCTATATGACCTAAAGCTGATTTCCTTTAAGCTGCCAAAATTAACAATGTATTGTTCAGCATCAGTACAAAATTATTCCCTGTGAACACTTAATTTCCATTGATCAGATCTTAATTCTTGCCTGTTTATCTCCAGACACTAGTCAGTACCAGATAGAAAAAATGTTTTATTAATTTTGCATGCCTAGATACTTGTCGGAAAGCATTTTGCATCTACTACAATTTTCTTAGACTGACACTATAATGAAAGTGATGCAGTTGTGATGTGTCCTTTATTCATCTCTTAATGTATTGTTTTCTTAACTTTTCTTAAAGTTTTCTCTTCTGTAAACCGAATTATTTTGTTGGGTATAGCAATGGTTTTTACGTTTTTGATAGAAAGCAAATTGGGATTTTTTTTTTTTCCTAAAATATATCTCCTTTTAAGTGCTTCCTTTAAAACCCTCTTTAAAAGTTTGAGGAACTGGTGTAATCCTTGTCAGCTTATTTTTAATTTTAAGTGTGGAAGAGGTTCTTATTTTTTAGTGAAGAGTATTCCACAGAAATGTACAAATCTGGGAGGGTCACAACATTATGCAAGTCAGATTTCAAATATAAAGTGGGTTTTTTTAATAATTTATTAGAATGCTCTATAATAAAACAACTGGAGGACTTTGAAGACTTTAAAAAGATGAGCTTTATTTAGGGAAATCTAGATATTGCCAATTTCTTGATTACTATACTACTAAATGGCATGCTACTGCTTTTCCTCTGTGTGAAATACTTTTTGCAATAATAAAATTGAAACTGTCTCTTTGGAGTATCTGGTGTATGTTTGTGTCAGATATGTTCCACATTATAGTATTTTTCTGCTACAGGACTCTGAAAAAAGTGTATCTGCTTCCATCGAATCGGATGAACTGAGCAATCAAGAGGAAATTATGCCTGATTCAATGTGTTTTATTACAAAAAGACGTGGTAAAGAAAAGAAAATAACCAGAAAAAAGAGGAACTCCAATGAGGAAATTAGTACCAGTGCAGAAAATACAGGGCTTTCTGATGAGAAAGAGGTGATTTGCATTTATTGGTTTTGTGTGCTGGCTGTCCCTTCCTTCCCCCAGGCATAATATAAACACACTTCATTTGTTCTACCACCATTGAGCAGGTGGTATACATTTTTTTTATATATACACATGTGTGTGGGAGCATAAGAATTTAATATGCAAACGTTCTGGTACTGGTCATGTACTGATTTTTGTCTGTCTTGACTGTGCTACTCCATAATGAACAGAGATTATTTGTTAGTCATTACTTGAAGGAAATAAATTAAACTCCTCTTAAGAAATATAGAATTCCAAACACATCTGAATGTAAGATTGCTTTCACTATTGATCATAGTATTCTGAATATTAGACTAGTTTCAGAATTTATATAAAATAAGGCTGTTTTCACTTTATATAGAAAAAATTAACAGATACTGGATGATTGCCTAAACCTCAAAATTTTTTACTTCCTGCTCCTCTCAGTGGGTTCTTTATTCATGGGTTGTGTGACTGAGGGAGGGTAAGTTTCAAGGTGAGACGGGGGTAGAATTATTTTTCTCTAGAATTACATGCAAGTAGTGGGTGAATGAAGAACTGTGTGAAAGTCCTCTACTGACTTAGAGGAGGGAAATGAGAAGAATAGGAGTGTTAGTCTGTTAGTGTTACATAAGAGAATTGTACAGTAACCAAAGCTATCATAGTAAAAAAAAATAACATAGCCAGTTATTTTTACTTGCAAATAATTAGGTTTTGTCAAAAAAGGCAATTTTGTACTAAAATGTTAGAGCTGTGCAGGTAAAAGCTTTCTAATATAGATCTGATTGTGAAATAACAGGACAAGTATTTCACTGGTTAATTCAGGTTGGACTTCAGAAAGTCTCTTGCTCCTTCTGATCAAAAGCAGGGTCAACTATGAGGTTAGACCACAATGCTTAAGGCTTTATCGAATCTGATATTGAAAACGTAAGGATAGAGGCTCTGCAACCTCTCTGGGCTACCTGTTCCACTGACTGTTCTCAGAACAACAGCCTTTCTTGATATTCAGTCAGAACAAACTGTTTAAATGAAGTGTGTTTCAACTGCAGGAGCATTCTGAAATGAAAGAAAATGAAGTGCCTTGGAGTGAGCATGCAAAGGGACAGAAGGTATTGCAAAATGAGGAACAACTAACTAACAAGAGAGCTATTGAGAATCCAGGGAAGGGTACTGGTCAGAAAAAAACACCAGAGAAGATTTCCACTAAAAGTAGTGGACATGAATGTAAGTAGAAAATTCCAAAAAAGTAAGTTTAGTAATTTATGCTACTTAAAATGTACCTTTCGGTTATTTTGTTGTGTCTGCAAAGATGTTTTTTTGTGGCATGTCTGGTGATCAGTACCTTGTTTGGGGATACCAGAAAAAAAATCTGTGTCATTTTGGGTTTGTTTCCTTGTTTGGTTAACATATCGTTAACACAAATCCACAAATTCTGCAACACAGGAATTCTGCTGGCTTTGACTTCAGAACTATGGACCTGGTGTTTTTATTGAAGGAGTTCTCAAAGGTTTGACTGTATTTGAGTCTTGCGCCTCATTTAGGATCAGTGCTTTTTAGAATACCTCTGAGATGTATTCATCTTATTGGCTTATTTAAAAAATGGCAAGAAAGGGAGAGCTTCTTTCCTCATGCTTCATTTTTCTTTTCCTACAGATGAACTCTTCAGAAGGGATAGGCAAGGAAGGAGAGGCAGTGGGGTAGGCCTGTCTGTTAGGGAGTGTTTTGATTGTCTAGGGCGATGGTGACAATAGGGTTGAGTGTTTATGGGTAAGAATCAGGGGCAAGGCCAACAAGGCAGATATTGCAGTGGGAGTCTATTATAGACCACCCAACCAGGACGAAGAGGCAGATGAAATATTCTATAAGCAGCAAGGAGAAGTCTTATGATGGCTAGCCTTCGTTCTCGTGGGGGACTTCAACTTACCAGATATCTCCTGGAATCACAATACAGCAGAGAGGAAACGGTCCGGGAGGATCCTGGAGCGTGCGGAAGATAACTTCCTGACACAGCTGGTGAGGGAGCCCACTAGGGAAGGTGCCCCACTGGACCTGTTTGTGAACAAAGAAGGACTTGTGGATGATGCAATGGTGGGAGGCTGTCACAAAATGATAGAGTTTTTAATTCTTGGAGAAGTAAGGAGGGGGGTCCTGCTACCTTGGACTTCTGGAGGGCAGACTTTGGCCTGTTCAGGAGCTTGGTTGACAGAGTCCCTTGGGAGGCAGTCCTGAAAGGCAGAGGAGTTCAGGAAGGCTAGTCATTCTTCAAGAAGGAAATCTTAAAGGTGTAGGAGCAGGCTGTCCCTGTGTGCCAAAAGATGAGCTGGCAGGGAAGAAGACCGGCCTGGCTGAACAGATAACTTTGGCTGGGACTCAAGGGGAAAAAAAGGAGAATTTATGATCTTTGGAAGGAGGGGCAGGCCACTTAGTAGGACCACAAGGATGTCATGAGGTTATACAGGGAGAAAATTAGAAATGCCAAAGCCCAACTAGAGCTTAACCTGGCCACTGCCATAAAAGACAATGAAAAATGTTTCTATAGATACGCTAGCAATAAAAGGAGAGCTAAGGAGAATCTCCATCCTTTATTGAATGCTTTCTGTTTTGTTTTGTTTCTTTTTTTCAGTAATTTCAGACAGCAAGAGCAGTGTGACAGAAAAATAGCATGTCTGAGTTTAGTGTTGAAAAGTTGATTTTTCTCAACAATTACTTTCAACAACCCCCCATTACTTGCTTCCCATGAGGATTTCTTTCAATATATTGAGATCATTCAAGTTTACTTTAAAGAAGTTGTGAATTAATAGAAAGGCAAATGTTTGCTTTTGGTATGCAAATATTGAACTCTATGCAAAGTCTTCACCTGATTTTTTTTTTTCTTAATAAAATAAAACTAGTCACTAAAATGTGAACATGAGCTTAATACTATACCTGAGAGCAGAGATGATAAAAAGAACTTCACCTCTGTATATGTATATCAGACAGTGGTAGAGAAGCTGGACAGAAGGTATTTCTTCTTTGTTATCAACATTTGAAAACACTGTCCTATTAAACAGATCAAGACTTGTGAATTTAAGGTTGGTTTTGCTTACTACAAGCATAGTTCTCTTGTTAACTTTCCCTGTAAAATACTATCTGTTGTGGTTTAACCCAGCAGGTAGCTAAAACAAACACACAGCAGTCTGCTCACCTTCCTCACCCCCCCCAGCCCAGTGGGATGGGGCAGAGAATTGGGGGGGGGGGAAGGTAGAACTTGTGGGTTGAAATAACGACAGTTTAATATGACAGAGAAAAAAAAGAAAATAATGATAAAAGAATATACAAAACAAGTGATGCACAGCACAATTGCTCACCACCTGCTGACTGATGCCTGGTTAGTTCCCAAGCCACAGCATGCCTCCCTGGCCAACTCCCCCAGCTCATATACTGAGTGTGATGTCGTATGGTATGGAATATCCCTTTGGGATACCCAGTTTGGGTCAGCTGTCCCAGCTGCATCCCCTCCCAGCTTCCTGTGCACCCCCAGCCTTCTCCCTGGAAGGGCAGAGCATGGGAAGCTAACAGTCCTTGACTGCTTAGCAAAACCTGAAAACATCAGTGCATTACCAACGTTATTTTCATCCCAAATGACAGCACTATACCCCCTATCAGGAAGAAAATTAACTCTATCTCAGCTGAAACCAGGACACTATCAAAAGAACATAACCTAGTATGACTAAGATTCATGCTCGGCTTGTCATTTGTCAAGACATGCTGTTACTGACATACCATTTAAAAAGCTTTTGAGATACTTAGGACATATCTGTTCCAGCTGATCTTTTTATTTCTCAAAACCCAAACCTACTTTGAGGAGATAAGGTGTGTTTTGGAACAAATACCTGTAGAAAGGTTGTGATGACATTAAACTATTTTCCAGGTGTTCTAACAGTTTTGTCTAATATTACTGTGCTAGGTGATGCTCATCATGCAGGAGGGAAGATCCCTTTATATGTAGGCCGTGCATCTAGGTCTGGGAAAACAGGAATGAAAGCTACTACACCAAGTAAGATAACCTACCACCTAGATGTATTCTCTGTGTGTGAAGGGAGACTTGACTTACAGTTTTTTACAACCCAAATTTCTATTTCTGCTTGAAGAGAGAACATCTTCTCTTTAAAAACCAAGCAAATAAAAAAGTTCCCAAAGGTTACATTTTAAGGTATATCTTCCAACTGGTAAATTCATAGTAGTAAATGACTCGTATCTATAAAACTGGTTATCAAGCACTTTGTCTTTTGGATATAATACTTGCATATACGATTTTCAAAACAACGAAGAGCAGGAAGACATCGTATGACTCCTGCTTGTTTAGCTTCCTCTTTATAAATACTACTGTTGTGCTGTATTACTACATCTTAGCTAATCTTCATCGCTTTGTAAAATACAGTCATTTGTTCAAAAATTGGAGGTATTTCTTTTTTTTTTTTTCCTTTAACCGCAGAATTTGGGAGTTGGACTAGGTGATCTTAAAAGATCTCTTCCAACCCAAACCATTCTATGATTCTGTAATTCTCCAAAGCATGCACCAGATAACTGGCTATGTAGCTGGTGAAGTAGATTCTATTTCATGCTGTTTGTTTACCTGTGTATACAGTCTTTAATTACAGGGATATGTTCTATTTTCTTTGAGGCCATAATGATAGGTATTGCAAGATTCTTCTATTAAGTAGTAAACTTCCTTAGGAGCTTAGCAGATATGTGACTCTACTTATTTTGGGAACTTCTTAGACTTTAAAAAGTTGCATGAGGCTCACTTCAAGAAAATGGAATCTATTGCTGACTACATTGAGAGGAAAAAAAAATTGATTGAAAACTGCAGCAGCTCTCTCAGTGAAGTCAAGGTAAGTGATAACAGAGGAAGATATCCATTGATCCCGTATTCGTTTACCTCCAGAGCCTCTGTAGAAGTCCTGCAGAGGCTCATTAAGCAGTAAGTAGCTGGTGTTATCATCAGTGAAGTTTAAACAACTGCAATCCTATAGAACTAGTTATATATAGTTATTTGTATACAATTTGTGTAGTTGTGTAAGTTTTTATATATTAACAGTGTATGGCTATAAATAGTTACAGGAACCCACAAATAACTGGTCAGTTTTGAATAAAAATAATTATATTACAATTACTTTTGTGAAGGATCTCCTGGAGCTTTTGCTTACAACTGTTTGAATTGCTGCAGAACTTAACCAAGGGGATAGGTTATTTTTCAAGGACAGGGAATTAAATATTAAGCTCCTCTTCTGTGCTTTAAAGAACCATTGTCCAATGACTGCATATGACTCTCCTTTAAAATATATGTAATATATATTGTTCTCAGTTCTTGTATTTCATGCTTGCATGGGGGAAAGCTGCTGATAGGTCCTCATTCAGAGTGTGGCAGACCTTAGAAGTGACAGTAGTGTATCAATGAATATATGACTGAATATGTAAATGGACATATCAAAACGGTAATTAACACTGAAACTCCTGAACACTACATTTCTCTTTTCTATGGAATACAGTGTATCAATGTTATACTTAAGAAAAATTACTTTCGGCAGGTGCTGGCCAAAAAATCGAGTCACTTAAGAGCATCGGAAAAAGGCACTCCACATAACAATTCTAAGGTATGTGTTTTCAGATCAGCTTAATAGTAATAAAACTACTTATGTTTAAAATGTGCTTTTAAAGAAAAAAAGGAGAAAACTGAAGAGACTGTATGCTTCTGATTCCCTGTGTATTTTTCCTTCCTCTTAGCTGCTTTTCTGATAATTTTTAGCAGAGTGTGCTAATTCACTATTTGCTTTTTCCTAGAAACAAACCAGTGGCAAAACATTTTTATTCAGCCCAAATCCAGAAAGAGGCAGATTCTCCACCACCTGCACGCCTAGTAACCTTCGTCGCTCACCACGCAGTTCTCTGAATGCTGCCAATCGGAGTATCCTATCTAGAAAATCTTCATTTAATCCTTCTGTCCTTTCAACAAGCAAAATGAATGTCAGGTAAAAAGAACAAACCAAAAATACCAGTGAGCAGTTTCTTATGATACACATGAAATAATCAACACTAACTGTGTTTTGACTGCATTATTCCAAACATGAACTACATGAGACTAATTCAGATTACTAACTTTCAGCCTAGCTTTATGGCTGGTTTAAGCCTTACTGTGCTGTTAGTATCTTGATTCTTCATTTTGATGTCTGATGATAGAAGAGTCTTGCCTCTCTTTCAGCTTTCATTTTGCTAAACCAACCAAGCAAAATTATTTTTCTTCTTTTATTGTGTTAGGTTTTCTATTTTGTCAGTCTCTGTTATATCTGAAGTAATTTATCTTTAAGATCATTTAACCAGAACTGTATGCTGTATTCCAGATGAGTCTTGCAATGGACTCATCATTTGGGGTTTTTTGGGTACTCTCCCTTTTCTCCACAATCCCCTCCCACCTTGCCCCCCAGTGTTGCAGCAGGGGCTCATCTTGTGATTGACTACTATGAGCAGATTGTTTCTAGCAAATGGGAATCAAGCTGACACCAGAAAGTCATGAGAAACTAAATGAATGAGCACATACTCAGTGCTGTTAAATCTCATCTCACTTCCTTTTAAAACATCACATGCAGTTCATTATTCTCACACAGTAATCTAATTCTCTATTATGTTAATATTCCATTAATAATTCCATTAACCAATAACTTTTGTTATTGGTAAATTTTATTAGCTTATTAATTTTTCTAAAGTCTTGCACAAAAAATCCTTTAAAAGAAGAAATCAAAATGACAGTCCATATAGTAGTCCATTGATAAATGCCCCCTCACCTGTTTTTCTTTACAGTGAAAGTCCTTGTCTCTACTATTTCTTGGTCTCTAATTAGTCGGTTTCTAACTATTGTACTAATTCCAGCTTGATTCAGTTTACTAAACTTTTCACAGTGACTGAAGTTCAGATTTAGATGTTCTATAAGTTACCCTTATCCTTCTCCTGCTAACAATACCCAGTTAATCTCAGGTCTCAGTTGTGTTACCTTCTGTTTTTCTGATAACCTTCACTTCACTTTTGCACGTCAAGATTATAGCTGCTGGGATTTTTTTTGTCCCCGAATAAAGTGTGTGTGGGATTATTATTATTAAGTAAGATAGTGTGACTTCTAATATTGACATCTCCTAATAAATAATTACGGAACTTCTGAATGCAGTTCTTCTGCTATTCAAAGGGTGAAGATTGCAGCTTCCTTGTAAAATCAAGTTCATAATCGTACTGGCTTTGTTTCTACTTTAGAAGTGCTATCTTTTGATTTCAATAGATAGCAACAAATGAAAACAACATTCATGCTGCCTGTGGCATCCTGTTGGATGATCTTTATTGTCTTCACTGCAGCCCTACTTGATTCTTAGCAATATGTAAAACAAAACAACACTTTTAGAATTTGCTTCCGTTCCATTTGTCCAAAGATGTGCTGAGGTGGATCTTGTAAGCTGTACTTCATCCATAAACTTGCTAGCCCTCAAAACGTAGCTTTCTTCAACATTTACTCATGTCTTTCCATATCTTGCAGGCTTTCAGCTTATTCTCAGTTCATTTTTCATAAGTGTATTACTTCATGCAAGATTTTTAATTTTCTTTCATGTGCTTCTATGTGCACACACATATATGCATACACATATACATTAAAAATGTGTGTATATACACATGTACATACAGCACTTGTGTGTTTTGACTAATCTTGTAGATCTTTGAGTTCTAGAGTTCTGTTAGTTAATTTTCTTTCAGTGTTTCTTAATTTGAATTTTAAAATTAACAATAACTTATATATAATGTTTTACTACAGAATCCGAACCTAAAGTAAATCATATCTGATGGTGAAGAAATCTACTATCTTATTGTATCCATATATTTGCTCTCCAAAATAACAGGAGAGTCAGTTCTTTGTAATTCCCAGTATTATTTACTGCTACTGATGATGGCTTATAACTTGAAAACTGCCAGCAAAGGTATTTTTAATGCAGTTTATGTATAAGCTGTGAACATCTTATACACAGTAAAACTTTCTACCTGTAAGAAAGGTAAAATGCAGAACCTTCTGTATTCTGTCACGTTGCTTATGTTTCTTGTAGATAACTAATTTTTTCTTCATCTTTCTAATAATTTTCAGGTTCTCGGAAGCCACAAAAGATAATGAGCATAAACGCTCTCTTACCAAGACTCCATCTAGAATGTCTCCATACGTGGAGGAGTTCTGCACACCTGATAGCCCAAAGAGCTGCAAAATATTAAGTAGGAAAAACAGCAAGGGAAATGCAAGAAATAATGATCTGACTGCATCAAAGGGTAAAGATGTGTCTTTTTTGGATCATGACTTTTGCTTTATTGAATTATTATTATACATTTTTTTATAACTTAATGTCACGTAGATCTAGGTTTTAATCTTATTCTCTAATTTGTAACTGATTCTTTAGAAACTGCAGTAGTTTCTTTGTTTCCTTTGGTTTCCAGTGTTTTGACTAAAATGGATAGGTGCTAGAACTTAAACATACAGTACCTAGCTACCTATAGAAAAGCCTAACATAGGATGTAGGGGGTCGAAAATGTTCTAGACCTCTAGGGACTATGTAGCAGAAGATTCACATAACAGGTACAGGTAGATCCTGTCTGCAGTGAGAGGAGTTCCTGATGCCTTCTCAGAGGTCTCGTTCTCCTTGTGGGATTGGCACGCACTTCTAGCTGTATTTTTAGGACAACCTGTTATCCAGCCTCAGCAACCCTGATTTACTCAGAATCTAAAACTCTTGGCTGTAAGAAAAAACAGAATTGTGCTGATTACTCATGATTGCTGCACCAGCACAGCTCTGCTATCTAACAATTGATAACCTACCATCACAGGTACAGTAGTACAGGTCAAAAACCCGGAGTTGCCTGTCTTGCTGTATGACAATATTGATGGATTTTAGGGGGAAAGAAAAGTTCCACTGCTGGGCAGAAGATGGTGTGTTCTGGAAGAATGCTGCTTTTTTTAAAATGTGAAAATTCACTTGGTTCCAAATAAGCAGAGAGATGAGGAAACACAATTTGCTCTGAAGAACTAGAAAAATACACAGAGCAACATATGCTATTGCATAGTGCTAATACTCTACAACTCCTGCTCTCTCCAGACCTGAAAGCTCTCTATTTCAAGCGAGCTGTATTTGTGCAATTCTGTCTTTAGAGGCAACAGACAGTAGCATTTTATGGCTATTTGGTCTGGAGAGTTGTAAGGAGGTCTTCACTGGCACTTTCCAACTTGCTATGTACAGTGATGTTCTTGCTACTATAATTAAGTATGGTATCTTGATGCCTTGTGTAGTTATCACCCCTTTCAAGTTTGCCGCTCACGCAGCAGAACCCCCAAGCACAAAGAAGATATTTGATCTCAAAGCAAGTCTCTCAAGGCCACTTCGGTATCAGCCACATAAAGGTACTGTGATTCTGTGCAGTTTGTGTTGGTCATATCCCTTACACTCACCTGCTCATCAAGTAAAGCACTGATACAAACCATGATATAGCAAAGGTTTCAGTCTCTCTTCCTGTCCCTTTCCCTTCCAAGAAGCCCATAAATATAATAAACATCCATGTATTCCACTGAATAGATGTATGTACAGTGAATATGAGATACTCCTTTATAAAAAAAGGCTTGCTTTTTTTTTAAAAAGTGCACTGTTGTGTGAGAAGCTGAACTTTGTGTGGTGAGTGTTACTAATAGGTACAGTCACCTGTTAATACTTATAGAAAAACTACTTGTAGGGAATGGGCTTGTGAAACTGATGATACAGCTGAAGAGGCATTTCATCTTAAAGTCAACCAGCAAAAAAAGAGGCTAGCTAATATAAAATTCGTGGTAAGAAGCACACAATTACTAAGCCAGTAATTCAGTAGTCTCTGTTTTTGCCCCTACATTGTAGGACGACTAAAACCTTGGGGAGAGTTTAAAGAAAATACTGTTGGTAGCAACATCTCTGCCTGTAAGAAAGATTACAAACAGCCGCACCTCCAGACAAGGTTAGTACATGATTAACTTTTATGACTAGTGTTATTTCAAATAACATGATGACTCATTTGTCTTTTCAGGATTTAAATACATAGTTCAGGAAAGAATACTTCTATATTAAAGCAATTTTTGCCTCTAATAATCTGTCTAGTGTCAGGAAGGCCAGCAAAGAGGGCAGCTCTGAATCTGATAGACATTTATTCTATGAAAGCTGTCAGTTCTAGTGTTTGGAGATTTACCTTCACCTTGGAGGAAGCTACGAATATTGACATGTTACCTTAAACGTCAGACATGTATGTCTAAGCACAAGTATTTGCCTCAACGTTTGGATTCAGTCCAAAATGGAACTGTTCTCTCCTCCTATGGCAAATGCAGTGCACTGGCTAACTAGATGCTAAGCCTTGGTCAGTTTCAGATTCCTTTGGTTGCTTGTGCTTCTACCTTTAACATAATTTGATCTGGTCTGTCTCTTCTTTTTCCCCTTCAGGGAAGAAAGGCGTGAGAAACACGAGCAAGAGAGAAGAAAGAAAAAGGCTCAGGCTCTTGGAAACCGTAGAGGACTATCTGTGGGTTAGGAGGAATAAGAAATAGCTAAGAAATCACTGTAAATACTGTTCCTGTCATGTAAATATTTATGCTGTCTATGTATGGTTCAGGTTGCTATTAGCAAGTAGAATCCAGAGAACATTGAATGAGACCTTAAAATGCATCTGAGTATGCTGCTTTGGTGATGAACTTCTCCAACAAGATGGGAGTTCTAAACTTTTAAGAGCTTAGAACTATCTCTAGTTGCTTTATGATGTTTTCACTTAATATATTTTAGTTAAATGAGTCAGTTAAAGCAGAACATGTAAGTGGAAAAAAGATGCTCAAGAAGCCTCCTTGCGACTAAGGACAGACTTTTCCACCAGAGTGCATTTGTTACCCACGAGAATGCGTGCTTCAGAGAGCAAGCTTCAACGTGTTCCACTGGTAGATTACAAGTGTTGGAGGTGTCTGCTTGTCCTGTTCTCCAGATCAATCCTTGAATTCAACTTTTACACCAATTATTCAGCATTTCTAATTGCGTGCCTATGAAGTAGTAAGGAATTTCCAAGAAAAGAAAAAAATATGCAGGCTTTCTAGAAAACTAAAAGCTTGCAGCATACTGTAATTGTAAAATACTTTTTTTTAAAAGTCGCAATGGAAAAGGGGCTTTACAAGCTACCCATTGGATGCTTTGAACAGTTAATGTTTTTTGTTCCTTTCTATGGTAAGTAGCAGACACTCACAAAATATATCTCTATGATACTTAAAAGAGGTTACAGTAGTGTTTAGGCACATCCAATACCTTAGATTTAAAAATTGTTATTGTTACTTTAAAAAAAATACATTAAAAAGCTGTCTTGATTTACTATGGATGGAACTGGAAAGGTAATTTAGCAGTTGTAATCTCAGCTGGAACTGTGAGCAGATAATTATTTCAGTGCATGTAGTGTCCTATCAACTATGCTGAAATGTCAGTAACAAGCAATTTTTTTATAAACTTAATGGGGGGAAATAAATATTTTGTATATCTCTTGTTTGTCACTGGTTATATTACTTAGTCTATTGTGTATAGCAACCTCCTTACTGTAGCACTAGTTTTGTTCACGCTTGTATTTACTGTGCCATTTTTTATTTTGTGAATCCAATTAGCCTGCCTACCACTTTATAAATGCGTATTTGTTCCAGTATCTTTAGAAGCACTAACCATCACCCCTCTTTTGCTCTTAAGCTATCTCATTTTGTGCAAGAGGAAAATTATAGTGTAAGACACTGCTTCAGCTTGTTTTATTGCGGCCTTTTCCTATATTAAATATAGGTACATTTGTTACATATGCTTAAACCAGGTCACTGCACTGGAGGTCAGTGCTTTGATTAGACTAAGTTTGTGACAGCTGCCAGGGTTTCTCAAATTACTGAAAACGAGACTTCTTGGGCACAGGGAGGTCTTAAACTTCTGTGCCACCAGCTGAGGCTGTGCCTCTTTACAGCTGTGTTCAGTTAATGGCACACATCAGTGAAGTGTGATCTGCCCTGTAATGGCACCAATCAAGTTGAGCTCTGCCTCCTCAGGGATGGGGGCTTCCCCCCACAACCCACCCTTAGAGCATTACTCCTTTTCAACAACCTTAGCTTCATAAAGGTCCACCATCAACAGCTCTAAATGAAAAGCCAAGCCCACAGCATAGCTACTGTTTCAATCTTGGCAGTGGCAGCTTTTTCTTTTTTTAGTTATTCAGAGGGGCCAAGGCTAAAGGTTGAAATACTTCTGCCTCTTCCACTCCTGGTGCTGAGTCACACTTAAGCACCATTCCTCAGGGTATTAGTTCTCCAGTTTAAAACTGGTGGGTGCAAACATCTTACAACTGTCTACAACCTGCATAATGTAGAAAATGAAATGGTACAAAAAAACCCCAAAGAACTGCAACAAGCTCATGAAATACCCTTTATTTCTGTGACTGTCAGGACAGAAGCCAAAACTTACCCAGACACCAGTTACTACTTTGTAAGAATGCACCACAGCTCTCCTTAGGCTCTGCTCCAGTCCATGTATGTACAGTCTCTCCAGGGTGGCAGCTCAGAGATGCCAACAGTGTCACCCTAGTCAGATTACTACAGTCAACACTTTATGCACTTATCTCCTTAATGTTTACATAGAATCTTCAAGTTGTTACAAGCCACACTTTAAGTGTGTTACAGAAACAAGCCAAGCGTCTGAAGAATGTCCTAAAGGACACCAGCCCCACTTAGACCTGGGGATTCTTTTCATATGTTTCATAGGCAAATTCTTCTGTA